GGGGCCGCCGGGCGGGCCGCCGCGCTCGCCGCGCCTGCAGACACAAAGGTGGCGTCCCAGGCCGCCGCGCGGCATTTCCCCAGACGTCATCTTTTCAAAAAATATTTAAAAATATAAAAAAAATAACTGGACGCATAAAAAATCCCCGAAAATGACCCTCGGACGACCCTTTACCCGGGCCGGGGGTCGGAAGCTCATTGCAGGCTTCGGGGCGAGCCCTAGGAATTCAAACTCGGGGCCCCCCTCTCCCCCGGCGCGAGCGCCGAGTTCCTCTCGCAAGGGCACCACGCCGTACTTTCACAAATTACTTTAAAATACTTGCGGGTCTCCCAGGCGCCCGCTGAAGGTCTGAGAATGTGCCCGGGACCCCCGGCCCGCTCCAGGCGGGCCCCCCACGCCGAGACCCCGCCGGACGAGGGCCGATTCCCAGCGTCCGGGGGCCACACGACCTTGCAGCCCGGAGCGCTCCCCGGCCCAGGCTGGCCGTGCGGGGCGCCCCGGGGCTCGCCACTCGAACAAAGGGGCCCCCTTTCCCGAGGGGGGTGCCCCCAAATGCCGGCGCTCCGTCCTGATGCCCCTCCCGCCGGCTTCTGGCGGCCGCGCGGCCCCTCGCGGCGGCCCCAGCGCCTCGCGGGCCTCTCCCCGCCCCCACTCTGCCCCCAATTATTAATAAACACTTTTGCTTTGCAATAAAAGAACAAAGATGGCGCATAATACTGGCACGAGCAGCCCTTGCATACGTGTCCGTGGATATTCGCTTGAAAATCACATCTATGCCTCCCTTCCCCGGAGCTGGGGCGCGCGGCGGGGAGAGGCGGCGCGCGGGGCTCCGACGCAGACCGGGGCTGCCAGGCGGGGGCCGCAGGGGTGCCCCGCCGCCAGGCCCGCACCTTCGGGCCGAGTGGGGTGCCGCCGGGCACTGGCTTCCCCCCAGGGACCTCGCTTTGACCGCACCCCTCCCCCCAGGAAGGGCAATTTTTACGCCCCCACCCCCACCAGTTAAAAAAATGCCCACACTGTCGGCACAGTTTGCAAACCGGTTCCCAGCGATATCCCAGCACATTGGGAAGTCGGGGCGGGGGCGAGGCGAGCGAGAAGCGTGGCAAAGAAATGTGGGTTTGGGCAACGAGCTGCGCGGAGTCTGGAGAGCGCCCGGAGCCCCGCACCTCCAGCATCCAGGTGGCCACGATCTTCCGCATGGACGGCAGGATCTCCTTCTGCACGCACTTGAAGTAGGACACCGACGGCGCGCAGGTCTCCTCCGCCTTGAGCATGGCCCGCAGCACCCGGTCGTTCAGGAGGTTGCCATCGGGGTACGCCCGGCGGATGGACTCCGCCTCGCAGCACAGGAGCTGGTGTGCCATGGCCGCGGCGCTGCGCGGCGGCTGGGGCAGGCGGGGGTCGGGGTCGCTGCGCGCTCGGCTCCGGTGCCCGCCGCCCGGCGCTCCCTGATGCTCCTCTGCCCCCCGCTGGAGCGCGCGGACGCTGCTGCTCGCTGCTACTGCGCCGACAGCCCTCTGGAGGCTCCAGGACTTTGCAACTTCCAACAAAACTCCCCTGTAGTCCGTGTGACGTTACTGTTGTTAAGCAGAGATCAAAGCCCGGCAGAGAATGAGAGCGGGAGGGGGCGGGCGCAGGGGGAGGGGGCG